CTGCGCCAGCACGCCGCGCGCCGCCAGCGCCGCCGCGGCCAGCGCGCCCAGTGCGGCGGCCGAGTCGCCGGGCCCGTCCAGCGTCACGGCCATGACGGCCACGGGTCGCGACTCCTCGTCCGTGGCGCCAGCGCCCGCAGCGCCCTCGGCCAGCACGCAGAGCCCGAGCACGATCACGCTCCACCACCTGTTATTAGAATTTGTAAGTAATCATACAATTCCACCGTACCAACTGTATCCATAGTAAAGAAGTCACTCAGATGATTCGGTATGATGTATTCATTATTTTTTACTACTAATTTTATTTAAAAATGTCCCGTTTTTAGGAACTACCTCAATTGTTCTATTGTAATCAGGTGTTCCTGACGTCATATCCAGCCGTGTATTTGCATATGATGCAATACATATCGTACTTCATCGTCTTATCTATGGTCATTATTTAGTTATGCCAATAACTTAAAATATATATTAAATTTCCGACCCCTGAGTCAAATGAAATAATATACCAGCGATCCTGTAGTTATTAAGTAGTAAAAATGTCACATCAAATTAATATGGATTTTATGGAAAGCTGCCTTTATTACGCCAGTTTATAAGAAGTCAAGAACCGAGATCACTAATTATAGGCCTATCTCCAGATTGTGCATTATAGCTAAGATATTTGAGAGGATTGTCTACAAACAGTTATACTCTTTCAACACGGATTTTTGAGAGAGAGGTGTACTATTTCCAACCTAATTCTTTTTAATGACTCTGTCACGGTTGCTATAGATAAAGGCAAGTAGGTTGATGTGATTTACACAGATTACAGCAAGGCGTTTGACCGGATTGACCACGATACCCTGTTACAGAAGCTCATTGACACAGGCATCAAGCGCGACCTCTTGAGGTGGCTCGCTTCATACATCGACAATAGGTCACACGCAGTGGTATTCAATAACTACATTTCTAGCTAGGTAAATGTAGCCAGTGGAGTGCCTCAGGGATCGTTGAAGCAATCGACGAAGCAAAATAATTGTGACAAAGATTTGTTGCAAACGGATCAAACCCCGCTATCATCAGCTAACAGTGTGATAATGACCTCAATAATACGATACCAACTCCGTGGTCATGTATTGGTAGTGGAAAGTCTTTTGTTTTGCTAGAACCGGACGAAGGTGAAGTAGAAGGAATTATAATATCTTTAAAAACTGTCCTGTGACAGGGTGGGATAATATCAGCACTAATATACTAAGAACCTTTAGGCACATACTAGTACCGCCACTAATTCATATTTTTAAATTTTGCTTTTCTAGTGGTACATTTCAGGAGAGCTTGGACAAAGTAAGCCAGTAATGGGAATTTTCCTTGATTTAGCAAAAGCTTTTTATACGGTGTCAACCCCATTGCTACTAGACAAACTGGAGGGGTTGGGAATAAGAGGGACAGTAATGTGTAAAAATAGGCAACATTAGTTCGAATTGCCGCTATATGGAATTCCACAAGGGAGCGTACTCGGAGGAACCCTATTTCTGGTATACATTGTTTATTGATTAACACGGTAGACACCAATTACATTAATCAAATTAAATTACAAAAAATATAAAAAAGAAAACTAAATAAAAGTACATAATATAAAAAATACACGCAAAAATACACGGATTCCACACGCAAGAGCTGGCTTCGAGCTTGCTCCGAACAAGCGTATTGTATAATAGCCGAATGACATGGTCTTTACGGAAATCTTTTGAGTTTCTAAGAACGAAACCAAGTCTCTTGAAAGATTCCTTGGCGACGACGACAATGTGGTCATGAAATGTAAGTTTCTGGTCAAAAGTGACTCCCAAATCTTTTGTCGTTGTTGCTGATCTGGACAAAACTGTACCATTCAGTCTATAGATTGGATACCGCATTCGACCAAAAGTCATCACACAACATTTGGATACATTGAAATTCATTTTATTTGCAACACTCCATTCGTAGACGGCGTCAACATCCTTTTGTATGGCTTCACAGTCCTGCACAGTTTTAACACTGGCATATAGTTTGAGGTCATCTGCGTATAGAAGACATTTTGTGTATTCGGGAACTGATGGTAGGTCGTTTATCATCAACAAAAAAAGGAAAGGTCCAAGAATCGACCCCTGACTCAAGCCTGAGCGTGTGTGGTAAGGGCTCGAGTCATAAGTTCCTAGCCGAACAAACTGTTGGCGATCCCGGAGGTAGTCTGCAGGAAGACTCAGGAGGTTCGGACAGAAACCTAAAGTGCTGAGCTTTAAAAGCAGGATGTCATTATTGACTCTGTCGAAGGCTTTGCTAAAATCAAAGTACAGCACGTCCACTTGTCGTTTTATATCAAGCTGAGCAGATATAAACTCAGTTAATGTCAGTAAGTTGGTGTTAACCGATCGTTTTTGTCTGAATCCGTGTTGTGCATTATGTAGATGTGTCTGTACTTGTGCATATATCGACTTGGTAAGACGTGTTCAAAAATTTTTGCTGGTGAAGACAATATAGCAATAGGTCTATAGCCCTCAACTGCACATTTATCAGAAGTCTTAGGTATAGGTGTTACTCGAGAAGTCTTCCATTGGATGGGATAGTGGCCCGTTTTTAAGGACAAATTGAATATATGGCATAATGGAGAGGAAAATGATTTCTTTAAATGTTTCAGAAGAAAGGGTGGAATGCAATCTGGGCCTATAGAACTACTAGGTTTTAATTTGTTTATACCGTGTATGACTTCAGTTGGTGTAAAACTCAGTATGTTGACATAATTGTTGTTGCGACTGATGTCAGAACTATTGATCGACGCTACGTCTAATAATGGTACATCGGGTAGGAATACACTAGAGAAGAAACTGGCGAATGCGTCAGCGGCAGCGGTTCCGGTAAAACTGTTGCCCTGGTAGCTAACTCTAGATTCGAAACCTCCCTTAGAACGCAGGTTACAGATATGCCGCCAAAATGCTAGTGGATTAACTTTTATGTTATTTTCTATGCGGTAAATATATGATTTGTAAGCATCCACGACACGATGTTTCAATGAACTTCTTAATTCAGAAAATGATTTATAGTCTTCGTGACAATTGGTGTGTTTCCAGATTGTATGAAGCTTGAGTTTGTGCTTTACATCTTTAATAATCT